AGAGAAACGTGTCTAAAACATCCGACGAGATATTGTTGTCTCCTGGTGCAACCGAAATGACTGTTAGGCGGTTTTGACCATTGCGGCTGTTCCAGTGCTGACTAAGATTACTTGTTTGTAGAGACCTGAGTAGCTAATTGGAACTGAATGTGTCTCACTCGATGATCTTGTTTGATCTCCGTTATCTCAGCATATCCACGAGAACTTTTGCTGGCGAGAAGTGCGTTCGCAGATGAGAACCAAGGTCGGTGGAAAATGATCTGAATGTGAGTAAGATCGGTCAACTTCATTTGAACTTACTACTGCCAAGCATTGGAGTAGTTAATTACTACACATGGTTCTCAGGAATTGTTTCCGCTTCTTTCGTGCTGCACTTTGCCTCTGTTGTTTGTAAATTACGATCGTGTGGTTGTTTCCTCGATTCTGAGGCGAAATGAGCAAAGGTATTCATGTGTTTAATGAGCTATAGAGTATCTTCCCTGCGAAATCAATGGAATTGTCTCAATAATTAAGTGGGTATTGATATGTTTTACCTCTAATGGTTTGACGTTTCACATTACCCACTATCTTATTCACTATTCATGTGAGTTTTTCACTGACACAACGAATTCAGTTAATAATTATTACTGCAAAATGAATACCTTGCTAGTGCCAAACGGCGAGACAAAGGCAAATGAACATATGTTCCGTTCAACGATAACTTGGAGATTAACAAATTTGAGGCAAAACTATTTTCCGCATCATTTCGCACCGCAGTTTTTGGTCAAACACCAGGATAAAATTTTGACAGTGCATTCTTTTTCCTCGCAGGTAGTAGAAAACGAGCGCTTGTACTGAAAGTCTACCGAGTATAGTGGTGGGCATCCCGTTACTTCCACCGCACTTGCTTTATATCACGCCAATGGTGCTGTGTAGTACTGTTCCGTTTCTTTCTCATTCGATTTACTTCACCAAAAAAACGACTCCATATTCGGCTTTTATCCTTTCAATCTGATGTCAGTTTACCGTAAATTTATTTATGATTATTCTAAAATGATGCCTAAGCTGAACGTGAAATTCAGATGTCTCTGAGGTATAGGAGCAATTCCCATTGATTAATCGACATCTACGCCTGTGCTGGCACCCTGCAGTGGATTTAGAATCTCGTACCTCTGCTGGTAACATGGGACTGGTGGATGTTTCGATTTGATTATATAGTGAATTTTTCGTGTACAGTAAATGAAGCACGAAATGAAAACTGATGTCTGATACCCGAAACGCAGGGTTGTGCTATAGCATGCATGGGCAAAAGGAAAAGCGGTTTGATCAGCTGCTCGGTAATCAAGTGGGTTGCATGCTTGCTTTATACTTTAGGTTCTAGGTTAGATGCACAATGGAGTGTCCACTTTGGCCCATCAGTGTGTTATCGCTATTTGACTCATTGGTCTCTTCCCCTGACATATTCAGAAGTAATTTTATAACTTACTTCTACTTAGGCGATTGCTATCTCAATGGTCATCTGACTGGTCGTCTTGACATCAATCGACCTGTCTTTTTCCTCCTATTTCAATCAAATGCAACATCGGGTGTAAAATAGGCATGATTACGGGTCTGCATCACCGCGATACTCAGCCTATTGTCATAATGTTGGTGTCCTCTGGTTATCGAATGATAGTTTTATTGATGCAAACTACCAACCCATTTGACTGACCTACCGTATTCACATTAGCACATTCAGTTGCAATGCCCTCCCTTATCCTCTTTACCCTCATATATTCACTCCGTTTTTGGCCTTACATTCATGTCTTTTTGTCAGTTTTCTATCTATGCACTCGGAAAATGCTTTGTTCTGAACACAGTAAAGATAACGGCCGCACCTGTGGATTCAGCCCCGCATTATTGCTTTTATATAGTTGATTCCCTTCCTTCCCGCTCCACTCGGTTTCTGAGACGATTGAATGAAATGTCACCAGCCCCTATTTCTGATCTTCCCTTTGTGCGGCCGCGCGCATTACAAAAACTGAATACTATCACGCACCACCACTAGTTGCGTTCTATAGGCCTTACGTTCGCCTTTCATCTACACTGCTGTCAGCCCGAGGCCGAATTACTAGTGTTATAATTCCACAAGACGATGTGCGGTTGAAGTTATTTATTCAGGAATACAGATGGGGCATCCCTAATTTGGCATACATAAGACAAATCTCATCAGAAACATACCACCGCTGTTCCTGGCCGGAAAAAGGGTAATGAATGTAGTAATCGATAGTTATTCTTTAAGACGCAGCGTTTGCCCTCGATGATCTTGTGGATCTCTGATCGTTGAAATGAATCACGAACCGTTACCTACTACTCGCAAATGTGAGTAGCACCTGACAACACTACGATTCTTCGTATGATCCATTTTCGCAATGCACTTTCTGTTTAGCACCAGTCGTAAATGATTGACCATCAACCGCCTTCTATTTTCTCACTGCCCGCTGATCATTGGTGAAGGATGGTGGTTTCTAAAGATCAACTCTGTCTACAACTATTGACCGACAGTGGCGCTCGTGCATCCACTCGTTATTCTCCTAACACCACTCTATATGAATTCCCCACCTTCCGCTTGAATTTGCTCTTTTATCCAAATGGGCAACCAAAACCGGCGCACCAAAGTGCATGTTTAATGGTTTTAAAAACTGAACTGATAACTATTGATCATCGAATACGATTCGACTGTGTTACGCCGCGCAGCGAAATGAACTGTAGAATCTTAAGCTGCACGGATTCTGTGACTTATGCGCTTCGTTACGCCCGAACCGCGACTCAGGTTTATCACCTGACCTATACGTAGTGTGATAATACTGAAGACAGATCTTTACAGTTGCGGTGCCAATGTTGTAAGAACATTACAGAAGCAGGGCAAAAAACAGATACAATCGACTTCAAGCGGAGAACCATTTCTCTCGGTAGTTTACTACACGCTATGCTGACTTGCGATTTTCGGGATTGCAACATGCAAGAGGTATCTAATATAAGTAGATGGTAAACCTTCGTATCCGTTGGGATTTATTCAACCTGTCTCAATTATTCACGCAGTGGTTTAGCTGTAATCACTGGCGTGCTTTGGGCCCTATGGTCCGAGCCCCGCCACCGAACTTTGATGGTAGGCAGATTTGCTGTCATCCGGTTCAATACCACGCCTAAACTATCGGGGCCTCATGTGGTTCGCCACTCCAAGTCCTGGGGCCTAGATCACCGGTTTCCATGACGGAGCAGGTCTTCGTGATTATGCGCTTCGTACAGTCTGCTGTTCACCACTCAAATTTGTGAGATAAAAAACTCTCAAGGGTAGCTTCGAGAAACTGAGGCACATATCAGTAGCAGCACCCGCGAAAACCGACAGGCAGACCAAACCAGATCGAATTGTCGGTAAGACGCCGTACAAGTTCTACTGGTTGATCCAACGGCGAAATTTGTCCAATCCACATAAAACCACCTCTCAGATTGTATTCGCACCTAAGGTATGGCGAATCAGGTCCTGTGCAATCACCTGCAACCAGATGACAGCATACTGGAGCCGGGCGTTACACAATTGGTTGAAGAAACGCTAGAGGTGCGTCTTCTAAAAAGCCTGGCGACACGGAGGTCGCCTCTTGCACCAAACTCCCACTGTAAGCCATGGTTAGTTTGCTCTCTCTCTCTCGTATCAGTCGTAATGAAATGGGCGGACTGGGTATTAAAATGAATAACGGGTGTGATTAGGTCCGATCCGTTGACTTTGGTGCATTCCACTTTGAGGCTTGGCTCGGCTCCCGCAATGGATATCCATTATTGGTGACGGACAGCTGGTGTTTCGCAGTCTGATACTATACTGATGACATACTTTTAGGGTATTACGGAAAACTAGAATCCGAAAGATTGTTTCCACTCTCGAAGAGTAGATGCTTATGATAATGGCTTTCATCCAACTCAATGTTCATCACATCATCGTTTATGATGGTAAACATCGACCATTGTGAGGAAGGCATTATGGCACGAACAATGAATCCCGATCTCACTCTCTCTCACACACACACACAGAAACACATCCAATATGACTAGCACGAACTCACTTGGTGTAACATTGATCAAATTTGTTGCCCAACACAATTAATTAACCTAATGGTAGAAAAGCAGGCGGTTCTTGGAATAAACAGCTATTCCTTATTAGTTAATTTCCGTTGGCTAACTGGTAGAGTGATGTTTGATTGATGCTCTCTCAGCTGTACCAAATACCAATCACGCGGATAGCATCTGAAATGATTAGATCCCGGCAGTGAGTTGTACAACAGATTGCAACCGCAGAAGCGATGTCAAAACTTGTATCTGATTTGACCCAAAATCGGGTTCGCGTAGCAAGCTAGTAGGCCATGAGGAAGTTACAGCAGCAGCAGATAAATTGACAAATGATAGAAAAAAACAGATGTCAATAAGGACAACCGGATGGGAAGATGAATCAGGATGAATCGGGACAGTTTGTCCCGTACAACAACAAAATCAAAACGACTAAACAGGACAAAAAATCCTTTGATCAGATCGAGGGATTTCGGGCGCATCAGTGGTCAACGTACAAAAAGATGAGGATAAGAACTAGCGTTATGTTGCAAGTCAAGCGCAAACACAAAAATCAGCAAACTGTACACAAGAGGAAAGAGGTGAAGTTGGACAAAGCATTGAATCGTAGACAATTGGGGGCCTAAAGAGCATAGCAGCTTTTGGAAAGCGGAACGTAATTGGGAAAGACAGGAGGAAACAACACGGGTTTGTGTGTGTGTGCCACGAAGCCAGTAACGTGTGAACTATTGAAGGATACCGGAAATCAAGAACATGTGAAGAACATACGGAAGCTTCGGAGGAGTTGAGTCGGGGGTATTTTCTTTTCGAGAACGGATTCTTTGGATTCACGTGAAAAATGTGAAGTTGGGCACTTGATTGGTGACATATTTGGTGTGAGACGTGGTCCACTGAGGACAAATACGTTGCTAAGGTTCAGTAACCTAGTCGTCCTGGATGAGTACTGGAGGCAATTCCATGATCACTGCTTTCATGAAGGAAGCGGCCGCAAGTGCTGCATATGGCTGCCACTGAGTGCCTTGACGACCCTCTACGTAATCAGCAATCCCTCGAATAATGAGGAAGGAGTCTAATCCGTTACCAAGTACGGATTCCAAAACCTGGAAGGAGGACAAACAATTGGGGAACGAGATTAATTAGACAACCGACAGTTATACTGGTTGACGGAATAAAAAATGTTGTGCTACGGAAGCCACTCGAGATGCAGTAAATTGATTTTGTAGCAAATCCAAATCACAAAACCAGTAGAATGATGCACTTCACGGTCGAGAGGACCTATTTTCCGTTTATGGAGGTGTAGATGTAATAGAAGCACAGGGATGTGCAATGGTGAATCACACAAGGCATAGTGTGGAGCCATACGATGATGACTTTTCAGTTTCAGGTTCAATTTGTACGACCATTAGCCATGAACTATCGTGCACCGGTTTTGGTTGGTCTTTTGGCTGCCCATTTGGGTGGTGAATTTTGGGCTGACGAAACATACAACAGCTGCTGTAAAGCGCTCGATCATGTTATCGAAAGCGCATCACGACTGAAGAGACGAACAACATCGTTACCGTAAACAAAATTCATGGTGAGAAGCTGTAAGGTTGTCAAGACTCAATCAATCTAATAGAAAAGGATAAGATTAATCCACGAGAAGCAATGACCAAAAAACTCATCAACAACAAAGCCTCACGGTACGAAGGAGAACTGAGAGCAAATATATGTGTGATGCTTCACATGTGTCAAATGGCATTTTGTGTTCTACACTATGAAAAAGAGGCATGCGTCGAACCGGGAAACAACCAGCCCAATAGGTGAACGCCATTTTTATGATTTATTTTCTATAGCGTCAGACAGATCAATATGCAATAGATTTTCGTTACGCGAGATGGATAAAGGGCTGCTATAGACTACGCTGATTAGGTCGCGTTGAAGGGTTTCGAACACAAGACATCCGAAGTGATATCGTGATGACCGTAACGTCGTCACCGTTTGAAACCAAATTCCGATATTCTGGTGCACTAAAACTGTATTTTAACACCACTTGAGGACTTCTAAACTAGGATCAATCGAACAGAGTAACGAAATCGGGACCGTAAGAACAACAGGAAAAATGGGAGAAGGACTGAAGAGAAACGACATTAAAGTGGATCAAGATAAGACTTTCCGTTTCATATCGGGTGAGTGGTATTTTTTTATTACATAATGTGAATTACAGTAAACGGGAAAATCTCCATGGACAAATAGAATACTGTAAAGGGAACATTCACGTTAGATCCAGTTTATTGATTCTGCGTTTAATAAGTGCAAGATTGTAAGTTGGGGAAAAAACAACGAGGAGGAGGGTGTTCCACAGTTTGGCAGTTCGGGGAAAAAAAGAACATTGGTGTAGAGAGGTACGACACCAGGGAACAGAAACCTGATAAGGATGACTAGATGCATGTGTACGGGAAGGGCGCGTAAAAGTTGCAGGAAGAGGAACTGCCGAGGAAAATTCCGAAGAACAATACCAAAGCAGTAGCACATGCAATTCGTGTCCTAGTCAGCGAATTCGATGGATAACGCATTCTCCACCGAATA